AGTACCTGCAATAGTAAGACTTTTATGCTAATGGGAGAGTAAGGGAAACCATCAGGAGTGACCTGGCCCCTGATCAGGGTTGTAAGGATTGTTCAGCATTCATTTAGCATTCAAGGAGAAGGAAACGTATTTATAAATTCTTACAAAGCAAAGGGTACGTGAAAAGTATGTGTTTTAAAACGTTCTACGCGTTTCTGGAATCCTGCCGGCTCTGGTGTAGCTCATGAAATGGACTCTTGCGTGGAAGGAAGAACGCTTTACAGGTTGCATCCTCTGACGCTCATAACCCCCAGGATGACAGACTGTCCAGTCTATGTGTGAAAAATGGCCTCGAAATAGCACCGCTTCGTCTTGGCGGGTGCTGAATGGGTGTTTGGGAAAGTGGAACAGTGTATGTTGAGTCCCAAAGGTAAGAGGAAAGAAGGCTGACCAAGTGAACGGGGGAGGCTTCGGGTTAGAGGCAAGCAGGTGAGGAGTAAGAAGTGAAGGCCGGAAAGGGAGGCTGGGTCAGATCCTAAAGAACCTCCTAACTTCTGCTTAAATCATTAAAAACCTCACCTAAGATCATGTGAAAATAGTGAAGAGTTTTCATCGATGGACATGGTTTAGTTTTTCTTTTAGCTAGGTTGCCCTTCCTCTTGTACGCAGATAACTTGGAGGGAAGCAAAGTTGGAGGCAGGCAGACCAGTGTGAAGGCTGCTGCCTTCATCTATATGAGAGATGGGTGTGGCCTGTGCCAGAAACGAAGGGATAGATTAAAGAGAGACCTCAAAGCTGTTAGACTTTAGGGGCGCCTGGGTGGCTCAGTGGGTTAAAGCCTCTGCCTTCGGCTCAGGTCATGATCCAAGGGTCTTGGGATTGAGCCCCACATTGGGCTCTCTGCTCCGCGGGGAGCCTGCTTCCTCCTCTCTCTCTCTCTGCCTGCCTCTCTGCCTGCTTGTGATCTCTGTCTGTCAAATAAATAAATAAAATCTTAAAAAAAAAAAAAGAAAAAAAGCTGTTAGACTTTAGCTTACACTGGTCAGCAACTGACCAGAATGGGAGTAAGGAAAGCAACATGGACAATGCTAAGACGTGTGTGAATCACCATGGCAGAAACACGGGGCCATGGGTAGGTGTGGCAGGGGCTGGAGTTTAGGGATGCTAAGTTCAGCTGTAAATGCATTCAGCTGGAAGCATCTGGAGGATGTCCCAAGTCCAGAAGCCCATTGGGCAGCTAGAAATTGGCCTCTGGAACTCATTGGAGAAGTCTGGGAGGGAGATAACAATTTTTAAATGTTTAATGTGATGCTAATAATTGAAACTGTGGAAGTATGGGTGAGTTTGCCTAGGGGGAATGATAGAGTAAGAAAAAGGTTATCAGATATAACCCTGCAGAACCCTAATATTCAATGAGAAGAAGGAGGTCTTTGCAGGAAGTGAGAACATACAGCCTTGGAGAAGATTAAGGAAACCGGGAGAGAGGAGTATCTCTAGAGTCAGAGAGGTGGTTGCTGCCCAGAAAGTTGCCGAAGAGAGGGACTTAGGAAGCATCCATTGGCTTTGGGAAAAACAGGGTCACTCTTTGCCTTGTTGAAGGCAAGTCCAGGCATGTTGGAGAATGGATGGGAAGCAAAGAGAGCGTGCACGTATGGGCAGCTTCTCCCGGGTCTCAGCTCCCTCATCCTCAAATGAGGTATGTGGATATTCAGGAATACACCTGAGCTGCCCACTGGCTGGATTCTAACACAGATGTGTTTTTGTTTGGCCAGGGCAGTATTCAAAGTACATTTCTGCTGGGCTGAATACAGTTGCACGTAGACCCCTTTTTAGATCCTGTGCAACAGATTAAAAACCTACATCATACCAGGTTTTTAACCTTGGGATTTTGCCATGTGGGCTAGTGCCGTCCACACACAACCTGCGTGAATGCCAGTCAGCAGTAACTACCACTACAAAGCATTGCACTACGTCACTTATCACTGGTGGATCCTCCTAAGGCTCTGTTCCTGAACTGATTTAAAATCCAGATAGCAAGAATACTGTGAAAGTAATCTGTGTCTTCAAAGGATTGTGGTTATTGCCACAGCAATCTGCTTTTGAGTTCCCCACAGGCAGTTCTGGCTTTATAGCGCACCCTGGACTGTAGGAACATTTTCTTCTGGAGGGTGGTGTTTGCCGGGAGACCCAACCCCTGATGAATGTCATCACTACCATCGAGAAGTTGCTCTGAACTGAGCCTTGGGCAGCCGTAGATGGTCACTGGACTCCCCAGCCTCTCATCGTCTTTGTTTCCTCTTTTTTGGAAACCCGATGCCTCCAGAGAGGATCCTTGAGATGCCTTGAGATCCTCAGCGGAAAACACGTGGGATAGATCAACCTAAGGTTTTGGCACTCAGCTCCTCTGGTTTCCGCCTTTTTAAAAATTGTCTGGGTCTATGAAAGGTTTTTCAGTAAATGATTTTTACGTACACATGACTCTCCTAATTGTGTATGATAACCATTTTATTCCTTCAAAGTCATACACAACTCAAACAGAAATGGACTCAGGAGACTGTCTAATAAATGGAAAGGCAAGAGGAGATGCCTCGAAATCACAGCCTAGAATTTTCAACAGTCAGAGCAGTGATCTCAGCCTCTCCTAAAATCTGTGGGACCTGGATGCCCTGGAGGGAAAAGGCAGCAGTCCGGGCCACACAGCTCATCAGCAGCAAAGCCAGAGCTAGACGAGATCTTAACCACATTTGGTGCCTTTCTGAGCAAGGGCATCTTTCAACCCTATGCCAGAAGCTTAAACATAAAAAGGAACTGACTGCTCTACCCAGCTTGTTTTTCTCTTTCACCTTCACTTTATTTATTTGTTTTCTCTTCTGGGCTTGCCCTTTGCCATAAAAATCACTTTGTGTAAAATTCTCCCATACTGCGTGCTCCATCCAGAAGTGCCATGGGATGAACGGTAGATTGGCAACTTTGTAATTTGCCTTGATTAGATTGTAGAGTTATGTGCCAGCTGTGTGACTTCCTGAATATTGACAGATTAGCAAGTCTGCAACACTGCAAAGTTGTCTTGTTTTGTGGATCTGGGGCCTTTTGCATTATTGTATTACGGTGCCCTGTCCTCAGAAAGGAGTGGACCACCTGCTGCATCTGTGCTGACTTGGCAGAAGCAACCACTGATCAGAGGTGGCCTCAGGGGCAGCCAGACACCATCCAGCTGAAGTCTTTTTTTTTTTTTTTTTTAAGATTTTATTTATTTATTTGACAGGTAGAGATCACAAGTAGGCAGAGAGACAGGCAGAGAAAGAGAGAGAGGAGGAAGCAGGCTCCCCGCCAAGCAGAGAGCCCCATGCGGGTCTTGATCCCAGGACCCTGAGACCATGACCTGAGCCAAAGGCAGAGGCTTTAACCCACTGAGCCACCCAGGCGCCCCCATCCAGCTGAAGTCTTGAGACAGGAGTCCCCTCAAAGCTGAGTGAGCGAGACATCAATGGGTCATTTTCACTTAAATGGTGTATGTTCTAACCAGAGTCCCTCACAGTTCTCTACCCCCATAGAGCACTGTGCAGAGACTGATCCAGAAGTTCAGAATCCCCAGATCTAGCTTTCGTACTGCCTCTGAAAGTGTGTCATGGACAGGACACCTCTCAGTGCTGGACCCCATCTGTGAAGCAGTCGGTGGGATGCACTTGAAGGTGGGCTCCTTGGCGTTTTTCAGGGTGTTCAGATTCCCTTGTTACAGGCTCTGGTGTTTCTAGTCTTCACCCTCTTGGGTACGCCAAGCGCTAGGTGCCGTGTACAAAGGTATGTGTTCATTCTATGGGAGGTGGTGCTCTATATGAACTAGTTTCTATTCACAGTGTATCACCAAATCCCATCATCCTTAGCCGTGAAGTTAAGGCTGAACAGCCACTTCACAGAGGAGGATATCCAATGGCCACTAAGTGTATGAAAATGTGGTCCCCTTCATTATCCCTTAGAGATAGCAGAGCTAAACCTCAATGGCATACCCACTAGAATGGCTACGGTAAGAAATGCTGTAAGAAATCTGACAGCAGCTAGTTTGGGCTGCGATGTAGAGCCACTGGAACGCTCCAACACTGCTGGGGGCGTGTATAATGGTAAAACAATTCTAAAAAGGCTTTGTCGTATCCTCTAGAGCTGAAGATAAACGTACTCTGTGACATAGCAGTTCAGCTCCTAAGTTTCTATCCAGAAAAATGATAACATCTGGCTACCTACATGTGTGTAAAGAACTCTCTGGGTCACTTTATTCGTAATAACCCTAAAACACAAAACAACCCACATGTGCATCAGCAGAGGAGCAGGTAAACAGATGGTGACTTGTATCATGAAATATGATGTAGCAAGAAAGAGGAATGAATGTAACAACATGGGTGAAACTCCTAGAGTTCTGGTAGCAAAAGAAACCAGACACAGAAGAACACATACTTGTGGTTCCATCAACAAGGAGTTGAAGAACTGGTAAAACTAGTCTACAGGAATTGAGGCTGCAACAGTGCTTGCTTCTGGTGTGAGGGGTTCTTGCCAGAGGAAGGACGCAGGCGACGGAACTGCTCTGTCGCCATCTGGTTGGTGGTGACGTGCTTGCAGATGTGTAAAAATGCCCCGAGCTGCCCATGTGGACTGCTCGCTTTCTTGTCTAGAAGTCATGACCCAATAACAACCATTGGGAAGGGACGTGCATCTCAAAGATTCATGTGGGTCCTTGATCCCATGCGCTTTGGTGTTTTAGGCCTGTGGCCATGCAGGGGGAGGGGAGCCTGAGCAAAATCCCTTTTTCAGCCTGGCTCTTGCTTTCCCCCATCTCTTAGATTGGCCCAGAGCCAGTGGTACGGGCTACTCCTTAGAAAAGCCTAGCAATTCAGATTTTAGAAGAAGCCCCACCGACTGTCCGAGGGTGCTCTCCTTTCTAGGAAGCTATGGTCTAGAGGCTCATTTTCAAGTAGAGTATGACTTCTAGGTAGAATCTAACAGAAGGTGTGGTGGGCTTTTATTTCCAGGGGTGGCTGCCAGAGAGACAGCCCAGGCTCTAAAGACGTTGGCCCAGGCTGCCCGCGGAGTGGCCGCGTCCACGAGTGACCCTGCAGCTGCACATGCCATGCTAGATTCTGCACGGGACGTCATGGAAGGCTCTGCCATGCTCATCCAAGAAGCCAAGCAGGCCCTGATTGCACCCGGGGATGCTGAGAGTCAGCAGAGACTAGCCCAGGTGAGGCCCAGAAAGGCAGTTGTGGTCATTGCTAAGTGGTAGTGTTGGCAGGCTCTCTCCTGGGCACTTTCCGTGGTGTGCACATTGTTCAATCAGTGGGTGTTTTCAAAACCTCCCAAAGTACCATACCTGTGGAGGCCGTACACGACACCCACTTTGGTAATTCTTGCCCAGTACCCCCCACAATAGAAGATCTGCTTGACTGAGTCAACAGATAGTATGGGGGTGGGCGGGGGGCGCTGCTGTTGAAATCTGTCCTTGGGATTTTAGGAGCCAGGAGACAGCATGTCTGTTGGGGGCCTGTGTATGCTTCAGCATATTCCTCTCCCTAGTCTGGGAGGTGAGGTAGATAGTAGACTTAGTCTGGCCACTTAAAGTTGTACACTCTCTCTACTGCCTCCTCGGATGAGTCTTTGCCAACCTGATGAAGTGAGTGGGCTAGAGACCGTCTAGGCGAAGTTCTAAACAGGAAGCTGGGAAGGAGATGGTCTAGGTAAAGGGAATGACACAGCCCACTTTCGAAGACCTTACCCTTCCCCTGAGTGCAAACAGCGAGCCCTCACCCATCCCAGAGAGGCAGCATGTGGGCAAGTCCAAGTTGGTTTGGAAGCACTCAGAGCGTCCCTCCTGCTCTTGTGCGGGCTGTGGTCTGGGGTGGTGGCCCCGGAGTGTCACAGAGAGGATCACACCTGAAACCCTTGAGACGACCCGAAGAACTCAACCCCGCGGGCCTCTCAGGAAGGGAGCTCTTTCTGTTTCTCTTGGTGGTGGCCCTCTGTGTCGTAGAACCTGACATAACACGTGAGACTTCTGTATTCGAGTCACAGAATGGTGACTTAGCCTGGTGCCGTGTGCACATAAGGCGTCCTGTGTCACCGTGTCAGCCCCTTGGCCGAGGCAGGATGTTAACCCCCGTGAGAGGCCTCAGTGAGGTGATTTAATGGTAAACAGTGTCAGCTGGATGCTGACAGATGATTTCCCGATGCTTTTCAGCTCCGCGCACTGTCCCTGCTGGCTCCCCGCACGTCTGCAGCAGTGTTTGCACGGAAAGGGCTCTCTCACGCAGCTTTTCTCCCTCTGCAGGTGGCCAAAGCCGTCTCTCACTCCTTGAATAACTGCGTGAATTGTCTCCCAGGACAGAAGGATGTGGACGTGGCCTTGAAGAGCATTGGCGAGTCTAGCAAGAAGCTGCTTGTGGACTCGGTGAGAGGCTGTGCCGTGAGAAGGGGTGCCTGGGGGGCTGGGCTCACCTTCGGTGTGAGCAGAGGGGGAGCCTTCTCCCCTCCATGGGATCTCTGAGCAGCTAACATCTGTCTCAGGAGTCCCATTTCGCTTCCCAGTTTCTTTCCTTGTTGGGCGTTGCCATCAGCAAAGTTCCCAGGTGGGGCTTTAAAAGTTTACTTTTTCTCTGGGTCCACATTGCTGTGTGCTCTCCGGCCAGCCCAGTGAAAACAGGAAAGGTGGGTGTGTGATCCTCTGACTTCTTATCAGGACATCTCCAACGGTGACAGTCAGGTGGTGGAGGGTATGTGTGTGTCCAAGACATCTGAGAGAGTGAGGAGTCTCAGGAGGCTGCTTGCTTGTGGAGCCTGTTCCCTGTTCTTTGCACCCCTTTCGGGGGCAGGGGGAAGGTGGCTCGGGCTCATCCATTTCTTCTCTGCCGGGTGACTGGCACATACCAGGTCTGCAAGCAGTATATGTGCTGTGACTAGTAAACTGGAACAAACAGTCATAGTTCCACCAGTGACACTTCTGATCCTCACAAAAGCTGGAGCAAAGGCTACTAATAAAATTGGTGGCGATTAGTGTGAAAGAATAGGATTTGAAGTTTAATAGCATCTGCCTATTAGTTCTAGAAAGCTAAACCTTTGAGAGGCTCCATCCAAAATGGAGAGGTGGTTCAGAGCATGCATCCTGGAGCCAGACTGCCCAGGTGTGAACCCTGGCTATGCCGCTGAGGGGACCACAGCCCCTGAGGATAGACCACTTTTGGATCCTCTGTGTCTAGCATTGAAGAGCTTAGTAAATTTCAGTGAATGAAGTAATGTCTGTATGTTCAAGGTCATACTTAACATAGGTGGGCTCAGACCACACAGAGTCTTTTAGTCTAGGTGACTCAGAAAGGCAGCCCTGGAGAGGCTTTTCTTCCACAAAGCCTTCCTTCTTCCCTGCAGTGTGAAATAAAACTTCTTATGGGGGGTGCCTTTTCTCCCTACTGCAGTTACCTCCCAGCACAAAGCCTTTCCAGGAAGCCCAGAGTGAGCTGAACCAAGCCGCAGCTGATCTGAACCAGTCTGCGGGGGAAGTGGTCCATGCCACCCGGGGCCAGAGTGGAGAGCTGGCCGCAGCCTCTGGCAAGTTCAGTGATGATTTCGATGAATTCCTGGATGCTGGCATTGAGATGGCAGGCCAGGCTCAGGTGAGTGTGGCAGTGGCTGCCTGGAGTGGACCTTTTCCTATCTCTTCTGCTGGACTGTCCTCCCTGGAGGCCTGCTGGGCAAATAGACACAGGGAACCTGTGAGCAGGTCGCACCATTCATTGCATTCTGTTTACTGCTTAGAAAGCTCTGTGACCTCACAGGCCTGGCATTCCTAAAGACGCTATTAGCTTATGTGTGAAATGGTTCTTAGAGATAAGGGATAACCTCCCACGATCATCCAGCAGGATTCATGGTTTTCAGAGGGAGGGCAGCTCTGTGTCCTAGATTTCATATGTGGTATAATATAGTTTAAAAACCCATGTGTTTGAGTTTCACTGGGCCCATTGGAGGGGGCTGTGTCTAATACCAAGTGTCAAATGATTAAAAATTACCTCTTTGAGGGGCACCTGGGTGGCTCAGTCAGTTAAGTGTCTGCTTTTAGCTCAGGTCAAGATCCCGGGGGTCCTGGGATTGAGCCCTGCATCAGGCTCCCTTCTCTATGTGGAGCCTGCTTCTCCCTCTCCCTCTGCTGCTCCCCTGCTTGTGATCTCTCTCTCTGGCAAATAAATAAATAAAATCATTTAAAAAAATTACCTCCTTGAGATGAACAGATAAAGCCCTTGTTCAGAATAAGGGAACATGACTGGTCTGGTGGCAGCCTACAGAGCTGTTTTTTCTGGAGCCCCTGTGAACTCCCTAAAGGAGATACCCAGGGTGTCTCTGGCTGTATTATCTACACATGGTTGTTTCTCAGGCAGAAAGTCAGCCAGGTGAGAAATGTGTCTTTCCCTGAGTCGGAACTTCTGGGGTGCAGTCGGCTCCGAGTATCCAGACAGCGCTGGGCGTTTGTGCCAGGCTGAGATGTAGGAGCTCCTTGACAACTCCAGCATTGTTGAGCGAGATGCTGGAATCCTGGCCCGGTCTGTGTACTGATGCGCGGGGGCTCTCTCCCCCTCCCTCTACTTCCCTCCCCCACTCTTACTGCATGCACTTGTGAGATGGCACAGCTCTTGGCTGACCCGCTCGGGGATGGACGTCTGTCCTGTTGCGGGCATCTTGGTGTGGGTATCTGTTTGGGGAAGGGTAGACCTGGGGCAGTGTGTCGACCCGCTGGGCATCTGCAGACTAATGGGGCTTAATGCGGCCTCTGTAGGTAACTTGCTCCTGTATCGAGATGCTTCTCCCGGCTCTCTGAATGCTGCCCAGGAGAAATGGACAGTCCCTAATTACTTGGCCTCCTTTCAACTTTGCAGACGAAAGAAGACCAGATCCAAGTGATAGGCAACCTCAAGAATATCTCTATGGCGTCCAGCAAGCTGTTGCTCGCTGCCAAGTCTCTCTCGGTAGATCCCGGAGCCCCCAATGCCAAAAATCTCCTGGCAGCTGCTGCAAGGTAAGAGC